AGCAGACAGCGCCCGGCGAGTGAGGTGAAGCTGCGGCCCAGGGGACGGAGGGGACTCGGGAAGGTGCCCCGGACAGGCAGGAGGTCCCGAAACGTTGTAGAAACACCGCCGCCGCCCGCCCCAGAGTGGGAGGCCCACAAGTCCCCGCGCGGCGACCCTTTCCACTCCCTGTGACCCCAAGGAGAGGCAGAGGCTTCCCGGGGCCTCGCTCCAATCTGGGGAGCAGACAGCGCCCGGCGAGCGAGGTGAAGGTGCGGCCCAGGGGGCGGAGGGGACGGAGGGGACTCAGGAAGGCGCCCGAACAGGCAGGAGGTCCCGGAACATTCTAGAAACGTCGCCGCCGCCCGCCCCGGAGTGGGAGGCCCACAAGTCCCCGCGCGGCGAACCTTTCCACTCTTTGTGACGCCAAGGAGAGGCAGAGGCCTCCCGGGTCCTCGCTCCAATCTGGGGAGCAGATAGCGCCTGGCGAGTGAGGTGAAGGTGCGGCCCAGGGGGCGGAGGGGACGGAGGGGACTCGGGAAGGCGCCCCGGACAGGCAGGAGGTCCCGGAACGTTCTAGAAACGCCGCCACCTCCTGCCCCGGAGTGGGAGGCCCACAAGTCCCCGCGCGGCGCCCCCTGTCGCCTCTCCGTGACCGCGAGGAGAGCAGCGGCTTCTCTGGGCCCAGGTGAGGGCTGTGGCAGCACAGAGGACAGAGGCTCCCTGGACCCCACAGCGGCCACCTGTGGGCTCTGCACAGCTGAGCTCGGAGTGCTCGGCCCAGCACCCTCTTCACTCCCCGGGGCTGAGCGAGTGAGAGCCCCGCGGTGGGGTTCAGGGGTGAGACGGGGCCGAGGGGTCCGGGTGAGGTGCTGAAGGCAGAGTGAGGAAGCCGGTCCGCGGCTTCGGCGCCTTCCTGTGAGGCCCCCCGCGCTTCTGTCCTCAGCTTTTGACCCCGGATTTGATTTGGGAGGCGGCTCCGCCCCCTCCCACAGCCCTTTCCTGTTCCGGCTCCCCGGCGGTCCAGGCCTGGGTCTGCGGGGAGCGCCCTGAGGTGGGCCCGGACGGGGGTCCGGAAGGAGGCCATCCCCACCTCAGGCCCCAGCACGCCTGCGGGTCAGAGCCGTGGTGTGACCCTGCACACTCGGGTACGCAGGGCTGGGGGTTCAGAGCGTGCCAGAACCCGAGGTGAGGCCCGCAGCGAGCGGGGAGGCCCCGCTACTAGAGAGGCTCCTTGGAGAGCATCTGTGGCCCGGATGTCAGCCTGGCACGCCCTGGGCATGCTGGGTGGGGGTGCGGTCGCCCAACTTGTACACGTGGACCCTGAACAAGGTGTAACTGTTGCTCAGAGAGGAGTAGGCCTTGAATTTACAACTCAGAGTTCCCCCTCAGAGCCAGTTGTGGCTGTGGATTTAGGAGAACCCGGTGCATGGTGCCCAGGCAGGCAGTTGATTGCTGAGTTGTGCAGTGAGTTGGGGGGACTCTGTAGAATGAGCGTGTCTTGAACAGAGGGCAGGAACCAGGCCCTGCTGCAGGTTAGAGGGAGACATGAGGCAGGACTGAGGGCTCGAGGAGGAGAGGACAAGCCCACCTCTCTTTGGAAACCAGTTGTGTCTTTACTTCTGACTTTGGAATCTAAGGGAGGAGGACTTAGAGTCCCCCAGAGATGGGCTCCTTCCAGGTCTCAAGGGCAGGACTTATAGGGTGGACTCCTGGGGTGACCTTACACTCTTTATCAGACGGCCACTCCCATCCTGCTGTCAGCCCAGTTGGGGGATGCAGTGCATCTCTACTCCTGACTCTTGGTGTCCCGGAGGAGGGGACCTTGGTCTGAAGAGAGTGGTCAGAGGGAGATGATGGGTTTGGATTGCAAGATGCATGCGCAGGTCAGCAGTACCTGAGCACACTCCAGATAAAGGAGGGTGCAGAGCTATTCCTTGTGTTAGCCTGGGGAAACCCTATGCAGGGGTGTCCAGAAATGCTGTACCTTCCCTACTATCTCCTTGTTCTCAGGAACATCACACGGTGTGAGGAGTGCTACCAGGTCAGCAGAGGAGCAAAGGCTGTTCAGCAGAAGAACAAAGCCAGGATCTGACAGAAATCAAAGTGAGGAACTTGGGTGAGGGCTGAAGGTATTAAGGTGCCTCACACATGAAATGTATGGACCCCCACAGATGCTGGTGTCAGCTGCTTTCACACGGGGACCCTGGGAAGAGTGGCTGCATGTGACTTGCTCTCATTTTTCCTAAGTGGGTGGGGGTGGGAGGACTCAGGGAGGCAAGGACCATGGTCCAAGAGGTGGTCACAGGTCATCAGGGGGAGCTGCACATGGGCAGCAGGCAGAGGACCCCAGGGGCTGCCAGACCCAAGCCATGGACCCTTCCTTAGGACCGAGTGTGTCTGCAGCCCAGAACCTACGAATGCATAGACTCTGTGCGTCCCCTGGGGTCAGCCCCGGGAGGCCCTACCTGGCATGCTCATTTTTACCCTGAGCAGGAAGGCGGGGAGCCTTCAGGGGGTGAGGGCTTGGTCTCCAGAGGAGAGAACAGCTCTTTGCGGGTGGGGACCAGGACCAGGAAGGGTTGGCCCCGACAGGTGGAAGATGGAGGGACTACAGAAGCACAGGCGGCTCCCTCATCACAGGAGAGACGGGCACAGGTCCTACCATCTGTCATGGAGCCCCACGTAGGGGTGACGGGACGGGCACTTGCTCACTTCTTTAGAGAACCCTGGGGATCTCAGAGAGGGGAGGGACCGGATCTGAGAGGGTGTCTGCAGGTTGCACAGGGATCTCCACCTGCCCAGCAGACCCAAGGGTCCCAGGATCTGCCAAGGGTCAAGGTGAGGACCCCCAGGGAGGACTGGGTAGCCTGCCCGGAACACGGATGGGTGCTCCACACACGTCCCCCCGAACTCGCCATCATCCCACGAAGCCCGGGCACGGCTGTCAGGCTGAGGCTGCTCTCTCACTTCCGGGTCGTTGGTCTTGGGGAGGTGAAGGAGATAGGAGGGTCTGCATTCAGGAGAGCACAGCGGGGTCCCAGGCCCTGGTGGGAGTGCAGATGAGGGCAGAGGGAACTCCTCACCCAAGCACATCGTACTGAGCCTCACCCTTTCCTGTCACCTATAGGAAGACCCAGGGGCCATGCAGAGACTCGCTTCCCTTCACTTCCTCTGAGAGTCCCACAGAGACCGGACTGTGCTTTAAAGAAGGAAGCTTCAGGTCATCCCAGGAAGAATCCCACAACTTACGATTCATCCAGGTGAAGATGAAGCAGGTTCCTCTCCCCAGGGCACACAAACCCCACTGAATTTGACCACCTCTTTCTCTTTCCTCTGGGCAGGTGTGGCCAGATGTGAAGTCCCCTCACAGCTCTTTTTACCCTCTTAGGGAGGTTGACACTTGTTCTGACCTATTATCTCAGGCCAGCCAAGGGCTGGGATCCAAGTCCTGTCGTGAGCCAGTTGAGGACGTGGAGTGAGCAGAGAGGGGACCCCCACCTGGAACATTTGTGAACTCACAGAGTCCACTGCCCCTCCTGTGAGTGCTGGGGACCAGGACAGTGTTTGTGGCCAACAGCTGGAGCACCTCTTCATGCCTCTTACAGGAGTTCCAGGGAACCAGGCAGTGAAGGTCTTGGTGTGAGGCAACACCCGCAGGTCACAGCAGAAGGGGCCCAGTCAGTGTCCGGAGTCAAGGTGAGGTGCTGCCTTGAATGTGTACCAAGAGCAAAAGAGACCCCATAGTGCCTGGCTCCACTCCCCCTGCTGTCTTCCCTGGGTCCTCGTCTTCTGTGGGCGGCTGCACTCCGAGGAGCGTCTCGCTTCTGGTCCTGGGTTCACTGGGGACAGGCCCTCTGGGAGGACAGGAGCCTGCCAGGCCCTAGCCACCACACAAAAGTAGACCAGAAACCAGCCTTTGTGAAAGCAGCTAAGGGAGAGGTTCTCTCCCCCTCCCCCTGCCCGCCTCTGAGTTCCCCTCACCCCTGAACTCCTGCCCACTTTCCTTTACCAGAGTCACCATGTCTCGGTCTCGGAAGCGCCGGTGCACCGTGCTTGAGGATGACCCTGAGACCCAAAGTGACATCCAGCAACTCATTGAATCCCGTGTTCCTGTGGATGTGGAGGAGGATTCGTCCTCCTCTTCCACTTGCTCCTCCTCTTTTCCCTTGTCCACTTGCTCCTCCTCTCTTACCCCCTCCACTTCTTTCTCTCACTCTCCCGTTGTATCCAGCTCCTCAGAGGATTTTGCTGTTGCTGGGAGCCCAGTTTTACCCGAGAGTACTCAGGGAGCCTGTTCTTCCTTCAGTACCTTGGCCTCTACTCCATGGAGCTCCCCTGATGAGGGTTCCTTTAGCCAAAGTAGGGAGGATCCAAGCACCTCACAGTTGCTGCCAAGTGCTGAGGGTTTGTCTAGCTTTGAGAAAGATGCGATGGTGACTAATTTGGTGAATTTCCTGCTCTTCAAGTATTATATGAAGGAGCTAGTGTCAAAGGCAGAAATTCTGAATATCATCAAAAGTTGCAACTGCTACTCTCAGGTCTTTAGCGAAGCCTCTGAGTGCATGCAGCTGATCTTTGGCATTGATTTGAGGGATGTGGACAACCTTGGCCACACTTATGACCTTGTCACTTGCCTTGGCATCTCCTATGATGGGATGTCGAGTAAAGTCCAGGGTTTTCCCAAGACTGGCCTGCTGATACTTATCCTGAGTATAATCTTCCTGCAGGACGACAGTGTCCCTGAGGAAGATATTTGGCAAACCCTGAATGTGATGGGAATATGGGCTGGGATGGAGCACTTTATCTATGGGGAACCCAGGAGGCTCATTTTGGAAGATTTTGTGCAGGAACAGTACCTGGTGTACTGGCAGGTGCCCAACAGCGAGCCTGCTCGATATGAGTTTGTGTGGGGTCCAAGGGCCCACGCTGAAACGAGCAAGATGAAAGTCCTGAAATTTTTGGCCAGTATTAGTAAGGCCGATCCCAGATCCTTTGGGGAAAGGTATGAGGAGGCTTTGAGAGATGAAGACCAGAGAGCCTTAAGTACTTTCATGGCTACTACTCTGGCCGATGCAAGTTCTAGTGCCAGTGGTGGCTTTTAACTACTGAGAGTCAGTGATCAGTGTAGTGAGGAGCCAGGCTAGCATTTGTGGACATGTGGTGTGTAAATCATCCTTGTCTTACTATTCTAGTTGAATGACTGGGGGGGGTGTCTTCTTCATAGTATAACATGTTACTTTTATTAAGTGGTTTAGCTCAAAACCTAAATTTGTAAACTGTTAGTTGCACATTGCTTACCTTTCATAAGTTTAAAAGAAAGTTGTGGTATTTTGTAAATCACATCGGGAAGCCTTCCCTCTGACTTGTAACAAGATAACATGGCGTTGGAATTGGAATTTCCTTGAAAATGTGAAGAAAGTTATTAAAAAATTCATTTAAATTCCTGTTAGCTTTTTATCTATCCCTCTATAAAATTAGAAGACGTATACCTAGATGTTGTTTACTTATTACATTTAAAATTACATTGTAATAAATGAAAGCTCCCTGGCTTCTTTCTTCCCCAGCCTTCCTTGAGCATCTGCTCTTGTGAGAGCCTGTACTGTGCTAGCAGGACGATAAGGCAGACACAGCCTGCCATAAAACGGTAGACCAGCCACCATGTTGGGAGGATGCTGACACCCTCTGGGACCTGAATGAGGAAAGAGCAGTGAGGGATGGGGCCCTAGGAGAGAGCATCTGAGTGTTAGCACAGAGCCAAGGCAGAGGCTTTGGGAAACTAAAGTTTCCACTGTAGGAGTTGATTGCACAAAGAGTGCATGGTGGTCAGGGCCAGCCCCTTGGATGATGGGTCTTAGGACTGAAAGAACGTAAATCAGGTCTGGGAAGTCCCCTTTGGGTGATGGCTGATCAAGGCAGAGTGCTCTCCACCTGGAGCAGGTAGAGAAGATGCTTTTAACATATTTGATGAACTAGGTATGCTATACCCATCTGAAAGGATTTCTTTGGAAATAGGAATTTCCTGGCATGTAGCCCACTGACTGTTGCCAAGATATCAGCCAGCTCCCTTAGAAGAACGTTATACATAGGTGACCTTCAGTGTCACTGCAGACTCTAAACAAGGGCTAGGTTTGGGGTGGAGGGATGAAGGAAAGTAGTAGCTAGAGTGGAAAATCAGGCGGGAGGGAGAGGGAGCTGTTCACTCTCATTCTAGGAGGCTCAGCTGCAACCCCTGGGGAAGACGCCTCCACACGCTGATGATGTCACATGTCTTCAAAGAGGGAGGAGTTAGTGAATTTTAGTCCCATTTTAGCCCACTTGCTCCTCCATGTCCTGCAGAGCTGCATAGTCTGATATGTGCTCGGGAGCAGTGACAAGCGCTGGGGTGGGATCGAATCCTGTTAGAAACAGCAGCCACCCGCCGTTCAGTGTGGTCAGAGTCCTGGCCAGGCACCGGGTGGGGTGCTTTCCATGGGGTGCACACCTTCCTGCGGTCCTGCGGGACCCGCCTGACCAGACTCACTTCACTGATGAACAGCCCCAGTCTCCCAGGGGTCTGGGACAAATATTCCCACGTGAATATATCTAGAGGCTATCGCTAGTCTCACTCTTCCCAGCCTGGGGCCCAACTTAAATCATAATTTATTTGTGTGGTGCACAGTGTCTCTTAGATGATAAAAAGGACCCTGTGGTCAGTTGTGACATACTGGATTGCCTACTTGCCTGACTTGAGAATGACCTCAAGGATTGGTGAAGCACGCTTCTGAGTTTGGGTGGATCACAGAGGCATGACTTTAGGTAGTATGTCTGTTCTCTGGTCTCTTCCTCTCTGGTGTTATCCTGCTCTGTCCCCTGGTTGTCATGAAATAAGGGATTTTGTTGCACCATGCTCTTCTGGCATGACGCTCCTGCCTTGAATCTAGCGAATGATGGACTGAATGCTCTGAAACCATGAACCAAATATTGTCCTTTAGATTGTGGGTGTCAGGTCTTTTATCTAGCAACTAGAAAACTGACTAATATTAGAAGGTGCTAAAATTACGTCTAAAGAATATGATAATGATAATCAAAAACAATTTAGGATTTGTCTGTGGAAATTATTAACCAAGGATCCTCCTGTCTGATCTCCACTGTTCCTTGGGAGCTGACTCTACCCAGAAGCTTGAATTGCAGTCCAGAGCCACCACTTCCTGACAGAGGAAAACAATGTTCTATTCTACTGTTTCTTGTCTGTGTACCTGTCCTACAAGAAAAAAAAGTCCTGGTTTTCAGTGTACCTAATGGTACTTGCATTTGTGTTTACATATGTTTATTTATGTGGAGAGTAGCAGAGACTTGAAATTTTCAATATGCATCAAAAGATAAGGGAGATTCTGAGCCTACCAAGACCATAGGCAGTGTTGCAAAGAATACCACGGAATACTGCTATTTCATGAAGTTGAATCCTCCCTGCTGAGATTCACAGGATACTTGGAAAACCACACATGATACTGTGTTTGAAAGCACCTGCCACACAGTAGGCCCTATATGTGTATATCTGCACACACACACACACACACACACACATACGCACACACATACATACATATATGTGAAATGTCTTCTGGATGTCTGGAAGGCTTCTTTCTCCCTTTAAAGTCTTCCTTACCTTCCCTAACTCTATTAAATTTTATGTGATTTTGTTCTTTTGGGTCACTTTTGCTGCTGTAACAATATTCTAGGCTGGATAAATTATAGAGATTTATTTCCTGCAGTTCTTGAATCTGGTTAATACCTTCTTCCTTTATCATAACATGGTTGAAGGTATTACACGGTGCACTTATCATTGGACTCTGGAATGGCCCCAAAGCCCTTGTGTTAAAGGCTTGGTCCCCAGTCCTTGATGCTACTTGAACATGGTGGGGTCTTTAGGACATGGCCTAGTGGCAGGTCTAGGTCACTGGGGATGTGTCCTCAGTAGGGACAGTAAGACTCTAGTCCCTTCCTATCTCTCCCATTTGTACCTGGCCATGAGGTGAATCGGCCTTCTCCACCACACACGCCATTCTCAGTGAAAGAGTGGCTACTCTCCTTCCAATCCACCAGATCTCTTAGGATTTTGCATAGACTTTGCCTTTCTGTTGAACCCAAACCCTGCCTCTTACCTTCACTCCCAAGCCCTGATTCACTCTTCTGGGAAAGAGGCCTATGCAAGAACCTTTACTTTGTGGCCTGTCAACCAGAAAACACTGCAGGCATATTTATTTTCTTACCAAAGTAGTCTTAGTTCACATTCAGACACCCTGAGTAAGGGCAGGGAACTTGGTATGTTTTATTATACAGTCAGCTGTCCCTATCTGTGGGTCCAGTATCTGTGGATTCAAACAGCCACAAAGAAAAAAATATTCAGAAAAAACATTGTGTCTGTACAGAAAATATCCAGGCTTTTTTCTTGTCATTGATCCATAAATAACATGACAACATAACATTTGTTTACATAACATTTACGCTATATTGGACATTATAAGATATCTAAAGATAATTTAAAGTTCATGTGACACTTGTGTAGGTTCTCTGGGAAGACCACACTATTACATAGAAGGGACTTGTGAGCCTTTGCATATTGGTATCTCAGTGACCACTGTATATGTTGCCTCTGCTCCCCCGACATACGACACAGTCCCCTTGACTGGTGGTCAGATGATCAAACATCATTCAGCCAACATCTTCTAAAAGATGTGTAGCCTAATTCCCTTCAAAACATCAAGGAGATACAACTCCTGTATTAATTTCTTATTCAACAGAGAAAAGAATAATTTTGCATTTGGAATTCACAGCATCCCACCAGGTCACGCTGTTCACACTTGAGATGATGAGTGATATGTACCTGTCTACAACCCACATATTCACTGTACTGGGGCACTGGATAACAAAAGGAGAGTAGCTGGTCAGTGGAATACAGAGTAAACAGACGTGCGAAAACCAACAGTGTACTTCCACGCTCCTCTCTTCGTCTTTCATTAGTATACATTGTACTCCGATATGTCATACATTCCACCTACATTATTTTTATGAATATTAATATTTGATGTGCTACCACTGAGTTATAGCCCAGTCTGCGTTATTATCACTTTTACTTTATTTATTTATTTATTTATTTATTTATTTATTTATTTATTTATTTATTGGTTTTTTTGAGACAGGGTCTCACTCTGCAGTTGAGACTGACCTGGAACTCACTATGTAGCCCAGGCTGGTCTCAGAACTCACAGTGATCCTCCTGCTTCAGCCTCCCGAGTGCTGGGATTACAGGCGTGCGCCACCACGCCCGTCTGTGTATTACTTTTACTTTAAACAGACAATTATCTCTTTAAGACATTCCCTTACTAAGGAAATTATATTTACCCATGAAGTGGCAATTTGTAATACTCTTCATTCCTTTGTTGTAGATTGAGATTTCTATCTGGTATTATTTTCTGTCTGCCTGAGGACTTCCTTTAACATTGCTGTTAAGCAACCTTGGTATTTCTCACAGTGTTGGTAAATTCTTTAAGGTTATGTATTTTAGAACAAGCTATATTTCACCATTGTTTTACAATGTATTTTTGCAATGTATAAACTTTTAAATTGCAAGTATTATTGTTTCAGAACCCTAGAGATATTGTCCCACTCTTGTCTTGCTTTCATTGCTTTTGACAATATATCTATCTGTATTCCTCTATAGACAAAGTACTTTTTTCCTTGGGTTATTTTTAAGAAATTCTGTATTACTGGCCTTAAGTAATTTGATTTTGAATGACTTCTTTTCAAATTTCTGGTTTCCTGGAATTCTTTTAACTTTGAATCTTTGGAGATATATTTTTTATCAAATTTGGAGAGTTTTCATTCATTATTTCTTCGTGTGTCTTTTTTATCTCCCTCTTACATTAGGCCCTTTGAACTTGCCTTACAGCTCCCTGTATTTTATTTTATTCATTGTTTTCAATATGTTTTTCCTCTGTGCTTATTTCAGTCTGGAAAGTTTGATTGCTGTGTCTCCAAGTTCACTAATCCTTTCTTCTTACTTGTTCATCTGCTAATAATCCAAACTAGTATATTTTTCCAACTTAGACATTATAGCTTACAC